CTCACAGGCTCGGCCGGGAGGTGAGGCTGGGGTGGGGAGGTCACCGGGGCCTGGGGGGACACTTGGGTGTCAGGGAAACCCCTGGAAGGTGCCTGGATCTGCCCCTGCTGTGCCTGGGATCCGGGGCACTGGGAGCTGGGACAGTGCATGGGGACCCTGCGTGCTCACAGGGGTCACAATCCACTCACGGGTGTTTGTTTTGGCCCCTGCCTCCCTGGAGGGAGGGACAGCAACCTTTGGCCCTCCAGGACAACTCTTGGCTGTTCCTGCACTAAAGCCTCACCCCAGCACCAGCTCTGCCCCTTTAGCCCCTCCTGGAGCTGTCCCCTCCCCGTGTCCCCAGGGTGGCCAGCACCAGGCAGGGGGATGGGATGGGATGGGATGGGACAGGACCTTTCCCAAAGTTTTCCCGGCTCCTTTGGTCTCCCCCAGCAGTGAAGCCCCAGCTGGGGAAGGGAAGCCTCTCCTGGGCTGGGAATCCCCTCCTGCCACCCCCCAGCCCAGTTTGGAAGGGGAAGGAAGGGGTATTTTTAGCACTCACCCTCCTCTTGTTCCAAGGATTGAGCTAAAAAGAGGAATTGACGTTCAAAGGAGGGCTGGCTTTGCTTTAAAAGGAAGGGTTTGTGTTTTTCCTACTACTCCGTCATTGCAAAACTTTCCTGTGAAAAGGGATTGGTAAAAATACCTCTGGTGGGAGGTGGCAGCCTGTGACAGTTCCCTGTGCTGGCACTGCTTCCATTGCCCATTCCCAGGGTGAGCTCCCATCCCAAAGGAAGGGATGGGGTGGGACCAAGCCCCCTGTCCAGGTGCTGATCACAGCTCCCATCATCTCTGAAGGGAATTCCCTCCTGCCAGCCCATCCTGGAGTGGTTCCTTTCTGCATTCCAGCTCTCCAGCAGCTTTTCCTGACCACTCTCACGGTTTTGGAGCACCTTGGGAACTCAGGTGCCTTCCCAGCTGCCATCCAACCCCAGTGCTGTCCTGGCAACCCCCTGGAGATCCTCCAGGGCCCAAAACAAGACACCATCCACACCCTGAGGAGGAGTTGAGCTGGAAGCCACAAGGGACAGGATCCCAAACATCAGGTTTGGTGTTTAGGTGTCACCCCTGTGTTCCTTTTATCTCTGCCCTTTAACCAATGCCCCTGTAATTTGGTGGGGATTTGGGAGTGGCCTGGGACCCTTCTCAAGGGCCATTGCTCCAGCACAATGGGCTGTGGCCTCTGTGTCCCAAGGGAATGGTTTGGGAAGGACAATGACTCAAGCCTTGTGTTCTGGTTTCAGTGTAGTGATCCCAAGTCAAAGGAAGGTCACAAGGGGACAACAATCAACCATCCAGGCATGTCCTGTCAAGGTGAGAGATCACAGGGGGATGGCAACCCCCAGTTTGGGTCTGTCAAGGAAAAGCACCTTCCAGAAAGAGAGGAAGTAGCACAGCCAGGGAGAAAGTGAAAGCCTAAAAAGTGGTTTCAACCTGTCATGCCTTCCAAAACCTGGGGTCAGCTGGGCTTGTGTCAAATGTCACCTCCCACTATGGGAAAATCCCGCCCTACCTGGTTCCTCACGGGCTCCAGGCAGCACTTTTGGTTTTGTACTTGTAGGAGAGAGAGATCCCGAGAAATGCACCTTGTGACAGGCACGAGCCAGCCCTGGTGCCCTGCCAGGGCAGAAAAAGAAGCAGAAATTGTGATCCTGTGCTGACCCTACAGGAGGTGCAGCCAGGGGGGTCGGGCTCTGTTCCCAGGGGACAGATAGGAGGACACAGCTTCCAGCTGTGCAGGGGAGATTTTCCAGGATATTAGGGAAAATTCCTCATGGAAAGGGCACCCAGGGCAGTGGTGGAGTCACAGCCCAGCAGTGATTTAAAATCCACGTGGATGTGGCACTTTGGGGACACGGTCAGCAGTGGCCTTGGCAGTGCTGGGGGAACACCCTGCAGCGGCTCATCCCTCACCCCCTCCAGGTGCTGCTTGGGGACCGTCACTGCTGGTGACAGCTGGCCCTCCAGCCCCTCCTTGTCCCTAACCCTGTGTGTGAATGGCACCGAAACCGCCTTTGTTCCCCTCCCCGGGGGGCAGGACCCGCGGCTATAAAAGGGGCAGTGGGGCCGAGTAGCCCCGGCCCTGCTCACAATCCCTGTCCCAGTCCCATCCCAGCTCCCAATCCCCATCACAGCCTCATCCCAGCTCCCAATCCGCATCCCAGTCCCCATCCCAGCTCCCTATACCCACCCCAGCCCCACTCCCAGCCCCATCCCAGCTCCCAGTCCCCATCCCAGCCCCATTCCCGGCCATGGGCCGCCCCGCCGCCGCTGCCACCGCGCTGCTGTGCCAGCTGGGGCTCTCCGCAGCCATCCAGTGGCTGTGAGTAGGGATGGGGATTTCTCCTTCCAGAGCCCCTCTTGGCGGTCCCTGGGGGCGCTGCGGCCCCCCCGGTGACCCCCAGCTTTCCCCACAGCGGACTGGCGGGCAGCGAGGTGGCCTGGAACGAGAGCCAGCACTGCCGGCTGCTGGTGCCCGAGCAGCTGCAGCTGTGCCGCCGGCACCTGGAGGCGATGCCCAGCGTTGTCCGCGCCGCCCGCCGGACGCAGCAGCTGTGCCAGCAGAGCTTTGCCGACATGCGCTGGAACTGCTCCTCCATCCAGCGTGCCCCCGGCTTCGGCCCCGACCTGCTCACAGGTAAGGGATGCTCCTCCCGCCCAGCCTGCTCTGCCCCAGGAGCATCCCGGGCTTGCCAGCGCGTGGATTTCTGTTCTGGGGTAAATATGCTGCCTTTAGGTGGTGTTAATCCTGTGCAAGTTCCGTCTGGGGGAGGTGATAGACAGTAAATTCCATTTCAAACAGCTGCCAGAGACTCCCAAAAAAGCGGGGAAAGAGGTGGGGATAAGGTCAGTGTAACCCAGGGGCCGCAGGTTAAAACACAAAATTTGAGAATCCTTGCGTTTATCCTGCGAAATAAAGAAACTCCTTGCGCTGAGAGATGTGGGATAGGGGAGCCTGCCTGTGCAGCGAGGAAGGAAACATCCAAATACCCTGATTTCTCCGCAGGAACGCGGGAAGCCGCCTTCGTGCACGCCCTGGCAGCGGCGGCCGTGGCGCAGAGCATCGCCCGCTCCTGCGCCTCCGGGGAGCTCCCGCGCTGCTCCTGCGGCCCCGCGCCCGCCGAGCCCCCCGCGCCCGCCTCCCGCTGGGGCGGCTGCGGCGACAACCTGAGCCACGGGCTGCAGCTCGGCGCCGCCTTCACCGACGGCTCCGCCAGAGCCGCCGCCGCGCCCGGGCTCCGCGCCGTGAACCGGCACAACGGAGCCGTGGGACGGGCGGTGGGTGCGGCGCCCCCGGGGATGCGGGTTGGGATGGCGGGTGCTGCGGTCTGGGGTGGGGTGTGTGAGCTCCCCCAGGGCTGCCCGGAGGTGACACAGTGGGTCTGAGCCCCCTGGGATAGATGGAGCTCAGCAGCAGGAGCAGAGGTCACTAATTTAAGCCAGACGGGTTTTTGGGGTGTCCTGAACGTCAGGAGGCAACAAAATGGTTAAAAAGTGTGTTAGTGGACATCCCCCCACATAAACACACACTGCTGCCCATCCCCAGACATCCCACACCCTTTCCACAACCAGCACATCTGGCACTTCACACCAGTAGTCCCAGTTAGCTGATATTTCACACCAGTACTCCCAGTACTCTGGGGCAGCTGGGACACAGCTGTCTGGGAGACAGGAGAGCTCTTCTTTCCACCCTTCTCACTGGAAACAGAGCTCATCCTGCCCGTTCCAGCTGGGCTCCCCAACCCATCCCATTTTTGTGCTCCCATTGACTCCTGTTCCCCAGGTGAGTCTTGGGAAGCCTCCAGCCCCGTTACCAGCTCCAGCTCCCCTGGAAGTTCCCCAAGGATCAGGTTCTTATCAGAAGGGATTGAAGCAGGCCTGAGCCCCTGATTACCCCATTATATTCAGCTCTGAGCTCTTTCATGCTTTGAAACTCCTGTGAATGCCCTTGGGAGTCAATCCCTGGGGCAGCACCAGGAGAGAGCAAGCTCACCTGTTTCCCTGCAGGTGCTCAGTGACTCCCTGGATACCAGGTGTAAATGCCACGGGGTTTCAGGCTCCTGCTCAGTGAAGACCTGCTGGAAAGGGCTGCCAGACCTGGGTGAAATTGCCTCTGACCTCAAATCCAGGTACCTGGCAGCCCTCAAGGTGACCCATCGGCTTGTGGGGCCCAGGAAGCAGCTGATCCCCAAGGAAGGGGATGCCCGGCCAGTGACAGAGATGGATCTGGTTTATCTCATCAGCTCTCCTGACTACTGCACCCCAAACCCCCAGCTGGGTTCTCTGGGGACACAGGACAGGTAGGAGGAACTCAGGCTCTGATTCCAGGAGTGCCTGTTCTGCTGGATTTGGGTGTCCTGGGCAGCTGATGTGGCTGGGCTGGGGTGAGCCTGCAGCAGATCCCTGAATCCCTGAATCCCTGTCCTGTGAGACCCCTCCTGCACTGCTGTGTCCAGGTCTGGGACCCCAATACAAGACTGGCAGGCACTTGTTCAACAAGTCCATGTGTGCCCATGGAGACGCTCCCAGGGCTGGAGCCAGGCTGGGAGAGCTGGGGGTGCTCACCTGGAGAAGAGAAGGCTCCAGAGGGATCTCAGAGCCCCTTCCAGTGCCTAAAGGGGATCCAGGAGAGCTGGAGAGGGACTGGGGACAAAGGCTGGAGAGATAGGACAAGGGGGAATGGCTTTCCACTGCCAGGGTTAATTGGGATATTGGGAAGGAATTCCTGGCTGTGAAGGTGGGGAGGCCCTGGCACAGGGTGCCCAGAGAAGCTGTGTCTGTCCCTGGATCCCTGGAAGGGTCCAAGGCCAGGCTGGACAGGGCTTGGAGCTGCCTGGGACAGTGGAAAGTGTCCCTGTCCTGGCAGGGATGGCATTGGATGATCTTTAGGTCCCTTCCACCCCAACCTTTCCATGATTCCATGATCCTGCAGCCTCCTGCTCTGAGCACACCAACTCCGGGGGCTGCCAGGGCTGGGGAGGGCAGGTCCCCATGTCCCACATCTCTCTGCAGGCCATGCAACAGGAGCTCAGTGGGCAGTGACAGCTGTGACCTGCTGTGCTGTGGCCGTGGCTACAACACCTACACGGAGGAGGTGCAGGAGCGCTGCCACTGCCGCTACCGCTGGTGCTGCTCCGTGGTGTGCCGGCGCTGCCGCCGCAGCCTGGACAGACACGTCTGCAAGTGAGCAGCAGAACCCCCTCTGCACCCACCAGGCACGGCTGGACACCAGGAGCCCGTCCCAAGGGATGCCCCAGCAAGGAGGAGCTGTGCAGGAAGACTGGTTGTTCATGGAAAGCCTCACACTGAGAGATTTTGGGAATTTTCGGTGCCTTCCAACCCAGACCTCGGGGCAGGACAAAGAGCTGCCCTCCTGCAGCTGGTCAGTGGCCAGCCCTTTGTCTCCAGCTGGGAAAAGCCATTGATCATTCCACAAACCCCTTTCTCTGGGGGAAACAGGGACCCTGGGCTGCCATTGTCCCTTTGCAGGAGGATTCTGACAGCTCCTGAAAGCCCGGAGTGATAGATGGAAGGGGGTAGAGTTATCCACAGGGAGAAGCTGCACGGATGGAACGCTGCTGCTTTGGGTGAGGGGGTCATGGGCAGATCCCTTGGGACAGGATTCTGCTCTGGGCTCATCCAGGGGAGGACACTGCTCCAGGGCCCTTTGCAGCATCCCAGTGCATGCATGGAGATGGTGCTGCTCTTGTTGATGGCAGAGACATCAGGGACAGGAGAGCTCTTGGAGGCTGCCAAAACTGGGCAGCCTGGCAAACCCACGTCTACCAGGAGTGTGTTACCTGGGCAGCCTGGCAAACCCACGCCTGACCATGTCTTAACAGCCCAGCCATGGCATCACTGGTTCTGTCCCCACATCAGAGGTGGGAGCACACTCAATACATTAAATTCTCATGGCTTGTCCTTCCTGCCCCTCCTTCTGGCCCACTGAGGTCTTCAGCCCACTCCTACCACCATTCAGGACTAGGTGTGTTGGAATTCTAGCCTGGAGAGTGGACACAACTCCAGGGTCTTGGGAAAGCAAGAAATAACCTTTATTTTTTGTACTTCCTGTAAGTGGGATTCTAGTTTGTGTTTTTAAATAAATGTCATAACTTTCTGTGCCTTGTTTTCTAGGACAATCTTTCCTGCATGTCCTTCCAAGCTGGTCCTGGAGAGGCTGTAATGAGAGCCTTGTGTCCATAAAGCTCCATGTCCATGCTTTCCCTCTCCTTTTCTGAGGACCAGCTCACTTTCAACTTTTTCTGCTTCTCACTGGCCCAGATTTGCCTTTAATTACAGACCCCTGTTTTATCCTCTGCTTCCTCAGGTCTCTATCTGCCTGGGATTCAGGGCTGCTGCTGGAAGCTGTGGCAGTCCAGAGTTATTTTCTGATCCTTGGGAATGTGGGCTGGATGAGCCAAGGGTGCGTGTGTGAACAGCAAGGGGTTGGGAGCCAGGGATGGGGGGCTCCCACATTTCCCATAGCATGGAATCTGGCCAGGCACTTGGATGGGATGAGATTCCTGCTGGTGCAGCCTTTGGAGGGAAAGGATGAGTCCAAACAGGTGCTGCAGGGACTGAACAGCACCAGGAGCACAGGTAAAGGGGATGGGAACCCTCGGGTGGGTTCCTGCAGCTCCCAGCACTGCCTGGAGGCTCCAGCAGCTCCGCTCTATTTTTGGTTCCCATTAAGTGAAGCTGGCCGCGCTCAGCCCGAGCCCAGCTGGACGATTACTCATTTCCATATCCATTCCATCACTTTTAATGGTCTCTGCTGGGTCACGGAATCAATGCGCGAGCTTTTCTTGTAAAACATCCCCTCCCCTTAATGTGCTCCAGCTTTCTGTGAGAGCAGGGAAGGAATCGGAGGTGGCTGGAGAGGATGCAGGGGCTGGAAGCTCAGGATGCAGGGGTTGGAAGCTCAGGATGCAGGGGTTGGAAGTTGAGCCCGAGCTCGGGGACTGCCAGGAGCGAGTTAACCCTCCTTATCAGTTGTAAATGTGCCATTGACGGGCTCTGCCTGCTGCCATCTCCCTTCCGAGAGCGCCTGGAAAACCGCAGCTGCCCAAGGCCAAAAGCGATTTCGAGTTTTCCTTTTTGAATGCAATTAGGGATCAATACCCGGCATTCCCCAGAAAAAGGAGTTTCAGCTGCCAGGCTGCACAACAGCCGCAGTTTCTGGAGAGATGAAGGTACTAAATCAGGTTTGCCTCAATGCCTTCCCTCCATCCAACTCCCCGCGCATCCCAGATCACAGGGAGGTGACAACGGGAGGGGCTGCGAACTCCGCCGAGCATTGCAAAACGCTGGTGAGAGGAAAAAAAACCCACCAGGAACTCCAGCCAGGAGGGTGGGAAATGTGATTTGCATTTGGTAACTACAAACACACATCGCCCGGGGGAGAGGAGAGGAGCCACAATAGCAAGGAATGCCCAGGGGAGCCGTCGGGGTCCCTCCTAGAGAGGTCCCGTTGGAATTTCTGCCTGGGAAAAGGCAGGGTCAAGTGCTGAATATGCAGAATCCACTCCTCCTCTCCCTCCCTGACTCCAAACCCCACAGGGGAGAGCTGGGGAAAGGCTGGAGGGGTCCCTGTGCTGCCGGAATCCTGCGGGAGATGGGAAGGAGCCGGAATTGGCTGGGGAGTGCAAAGGGTCAGGCTGGCAGGGGGTGACAGCTCTGTGACAGCGCTCTCAGTGGGGGCTGCTGGAACCCGGGCCCGCACCTGGAATTGGCAGGGATGTGCGATCTGCAGGGCCGGGAGCATCCCCCAGGAGCCAGAGGATGGATGCAGTGGGAATGAGCCCTGTGTTTGTCCCCAGGCGTTTTAAGGGAGTAGCGCTGGTGTGAACGTGGTTATTTGTTGCTGGTCAGACTTGTGCAAACAATGAAGTCGGGAGGAAGGCGAGTGATTTTCATGGGTTCTTTTGATTTTGCTGTTAAAACGCTGATTTATATTTATTTTCCTTTTATTTCCTTATTCATTGAGGGATGCTGCATGACTCATTCCAGGAGGATAATATGGGCAACAAACGATTGGTAATTAAGCATTTTTGAGGAAGGATGGCTCCAAAAGTCCAAGGATATGTTGGGCCATTTATTCTGCACAGCCCTGGAGTGTGGATGGGGACCTGCACTTGCTTTTTCTTGTGCTGCTCACATTGAGCCAAGAGCAGGACAAAGCCCAGGGTGGGCTCAGCTGTGACATCCCACAGAATCAGGGAATCCTGGAATTGTTTGTGTTGAAGGGACCTTAAAACTCGCCCAGTTCCACCTCCTGGCATGAGCAGGGAGCCTTCTCCTACCCCAGGGTACTCCAAACCCCGTCCAGCCTGCACTGCTGGGAATATTTGGGGGATGTTGCTGTGACCTTTGGGATGGTTGGTCCGTGCACCATCACACCACAAGGCACAGACATGAGTAAACGCCTGTATTTAAGGAAAAACCCTTCCCTCTCTGTTCTCCTTTGCTCCTGGGGCGCTCAGCAGAGTCGTGGTGCTCTAAGGGTAACAAACCAGAGCAGGGATTGTCCGTGTGGGGATCTTCAGCTGAGGGACAGGGACAATCAGGGGTGAGTAAGAGCCATAAGGTCTGAGGGGGAACCAGCTGCAGCCTGAGGAATTTTGGGTGTAGCTGGGAGGTCAGTTCTGGCAGGGGCTGCAGGGAGTTTGGAGGGGAAGCAGCTCTCCATCCCTTGGAGTCATGGAATTCTTGGATGGTTTGGTAGAAGGGACTTTAAAGCCCATCCTGTTCCACCCTCTACCATGGGCAGGGACACCTTCCTCATCCCAGGTTGCTCCAAACCCCATCCAACCTGGCCTGGGGCACTTCCAGGGATGGAACAGCCACAGCTTCTCTGGGAAATCCATTCCAGGGCCTCCCCACCCTCACAGGGAAGGATTTGATTTCTCCCCGGAGGAATTTCTCTGCAGGATGGGAGCATGGGCACTCTCTCCCCTGCAGAGCAGACACTGCTGTGGCCGTGAACCCCCCCTGGGGCTGCCATCCCACCGGGAATATCCAGGAGATCCTCCCAGCAGCAAAATGGGGCCAGACAGGTTGGGAGGACCCACAGCACTCCTGGGCTCTGTGAGTAAAAACTCATTGCACAATCCGACACGGGCATGAAGGAAACAAACAAAGTAAATCGTAAACTGAGTCATGCTCAGAGGCTGAGTTAGAATTACTCAGGAGTAGTAGTAGTGGTTGCTACATCCATGCTTAGCTCACAGCCAGGTCAATCACCTGTATTTCTAAGGGAAATAACCTGCTCCTAAAAGTACAGGTTTAACCCTAACCTGCCTGATGCCTGGTTGAATTTTAGAGATTTTAGGAGTGAAATAAATGAAGAAAAAGGAAAAAAAAGTTGCATGCTCTACTTGTACTGTAGAAAAAAGAGAGAATAGGAAGGTGCTGTGCTTACACAAATAAATTGATATTTATTGACTGCACTGTAGAGGATCTCCACTGTGTCCGCCTTTTATTGCAGCGGGAAAACGGGTGTTTTCTACCAATTTATCTAATTATCCACACTTTTTTCCAGTTCCCAGCCTCCACGCCAGCGCTCCCTGCCAGGACCCGCGCGGGCCGGCGCACCAGGCAGGACCTGGCAGGGAAAAGCGGGGGTGCCCTGGAGGCCCCTGAGCGCCCCCGGCCACTCCGAGCCGCTCCTGCCCGCGGTGCCCGGGGCTCCGAGGGTTCCAGAGTTGCGGGGCGAGGCGGGGCCATCACGGCGCCCACCGGGCCCGCTGCCCCTCAGCCCGCCCTCACCAGCATGGCGGCTCCACGCCCAGGCTGCGTCCGTGCCCTCCCCAAGATGGCGCCCGCCGTGGCTCCGGCCGTGACCTCCCCAAGATGTCGCCCCGTGTTGTGCCTATGGGGGTGACCTCTCCAAGATGGCGGCCGGGGCGGGTACGGTCGCTCCCGACTGCGCCGGAAGTGGCGGCGGCGCCGTTCCCGGCCCATGATGGCGGAGGCGGGCGCGGACGGCCCCCGGCTGGCGGAGCTGCTGGCGTTGGGACGGCGGCTCTGGGAAGAGCTGGAGGCCAGCACCGAGCCCTCCTCGGGAGCCCCGGCCGTGCAGGACAAGGTGCGGCAGGGGCTGGACGCGCTGAAGCGGGCGTCGGCCATGGTGACGCAGCTGGAGCTGTTCAGGTGAGCTCCGGGGACGCCTCTGAGGGGACGGGGAGGGTCCTCGGGCAGGGCAGAGGTGGAGCGGGACAGGATCCCAGAATCACCGAGGCTGGACAAGATCTCCAAGACCATCGAGTCCAACCTGTGACGATCCCCACCTTGTCACCCAGCCCAGAGCTCTGAGTGCCGCGTCTGGGCGTTGCTTGGACACCTCCAGGGATGGGAACTCCAAACCTCCCTGGGCACATCCCCTGCCAAGGCCCGGCCGCCCTTTCCATGGAGAAATTCCTACTGATGTCCACCCTGACCCTCCCCTGGCGCAGCTTGAGGCCTTTTCCTTTCATCCTGTCCCTGTTCCCTGGGAGCAGAGCCTCCCCTGGCTGTCCCCTCTTGTCAGGAGCTGTGCAGAGCCACAAGGTCCCTCCTGAGCCTCCTTTTCTCCAGGCTGAGCCCCCCCAGCTCCCTCAGCCGCCCCTCCCAGGATGACTCCATCCCCTTTCCCACCTCCATTTCTGTTCCCTGCTCTCTCCCTGGCAGTGAGAACGAGGAGCTGGAGGAGGTCGCCTCAGCCGACCTGAAGTTCATGCTGCTGCCGGCGCTGCTGGGAGCCCTGACGCTGAAGCAGGTGGACCTGAGCAAGAGAAGGGAGCACCTGGAGAGTGCCCGGGAGCACTTCCTGCACTTCCTGAAGCTCTGCAGGAATTACGGGCTGGGCTCTTTCCAGCTGCCCTCCAGCACATCCAGTGAGGATGAAGCCAGAAGCTCCCCGGCCCCCCGGGACCCCGGGCAGCCCACCCTGGTGGCCATGGCCATGAGCAGATCAGCCAAAATTGAAAGGTGGGCTCTGTGCCTTGGGAAGGGCTTTGGGAATCACTCTGGGAGGAGCAGGAGCCTGAGGCAGTGCAGGGTTGGACAGGGAAGAGCTTCCCTGGGCATTGGAATAATTTGATCATAAAATGCTCATTTTAAAAGATGCAGCTCGCTGTTTAATGGAGAGGGGCATTTGTGACTCCAGTTTCTGGTCTCTGAGGAAAAGCTGCTCAAAAACTTGAAATTAACTCTTTAATCTTTCATGATTAATCTTACAATTAGTTCTTTAATCACTGCTGGCAGCACAAAGACTTTCAAACTGGAACTTTCCTACCAGTGGGTTCATTAGGGCTTGAAAGAAAGGTGATTGGTGCCTTTGGTGCTTTAGCTGAGATTTTGGCCACTGAGTTGCTCATTGTGGCAGCACTGGAAGGTCCAGACTGGGCTGGACTTACTTAAGCTGTAGAAAAGCATATAAAAATATGATTTATATTCTAAATGGGACGGGTTTCTATTTTAGAATTACTCTTTTATGCTCTTTGTTCTCATAGCTCCTGAAGGTTTCTTGGCTCTTACTGTTCATTCTTCAGGTGACAATAATTGAGGGAAGGAGGACACAAGGATTTAATAGTTTCCCCTTTAATAACTAATGCCTGAAATAGTAAAAATTAATTTACCCTGGAAGTTTATTATATGGGGACTTCTTCCCTTTAATAACTTATTCCTGAATAGGTCAAGAAGTCCAAAAAGCCAAAATGATATTTTAAAAAACACCTTGGAAAAGCATTTTATTCTGTTTGTGTGACATGGAATCAGCCCAAACCAGCCATTCCATTGATTTTCTCAGTCCTGCTTTTTCCAGGAGACTGATGTCCCCAGTCTTGCCTGATTTTACCAGGAAAGCTTCAATTTCCAAGGATTCCTCAATGTTTAGGAGAAGAGTAAAATCATTGAGATCTCTGTGAATTAAATGTCATTTTACAGCTGCTTTTAGCAGACAGGAGAGGCTGAAATTCTAGCAGGAACCAGCCCAACTTCCATGAAATGTGGTTGAGCCTTTTAGAAAGGGTGGTAAAGACCCCAGGGCTGGGCTGGGCTGGAGAAGAATGATTCCATGGTGTGATTTTGCTGTGTTTGAGGCAGATACAAGCAGAAGAAGGAGCTGGAGAACAAACTGGCCTCCATGAGCAGCTCCGTGGAGAGCGGGACAGCGGACGAGGATCAGATCCGGGAATTTTACATCCTCCAGATCCAGAAATGGATCAGCACCAGCCTGGAGGAGATGGAGAGCATCGAGCAGGAGCTGGTGATCCTGAAGAGCAGGGATGCAGCCAGGCAGGTGAGGGAGCTTTCCTGAGATCCAGGGCATGAGGGGATCAATCCCAGAGGAATTCAGTGGCTGAGTTTTGTTCAGTGGCTTCCCAGTTGGAATTGAGCTCAATCGCAGCATGAGCTGGTGGGGTTTCCTTCATTCTGAATTCTGAGTTTTGGGTTGGGCTCACTGCCACAATCCAGCCTGTGGAATGCTGCAGCTTGGAATATCAGAGCTGAAATAGCCTGTGCAAAGGTTTTTCTGCAGATCCTTAATTCTGAAGAACAGTTGGGTTTGGAAATTAAAATGAGACCCTTGTGGTTTCCGTCAAGCCTCCACTCCTGGTCTGCAGCCTGTCCAGGTGTTATCAGCCCATTTGGAATGACAGAACATTCCCACAGACCTGCCATCCCTGTGCAGAACGTTGTGTCCAGGGTTTCTCTGACCTGGGCTGTCTGCTGGGAGCAGCAGCTTCTGTTGTGCTGGCTGAGCCTCCTGGCAGGGCTGGTTTGGGTGTCATTTTTTGGCACTGCAGGACTCAGCTCCTCCAAGGTGTCCATGGAATGATGGGCTCAGAATGTTCCACTGGAACAATAAACAACATTTCCTGCTCTCCTCTGAGCTCAGCCCTGGGAAAGTTCTGCTTTGACCCCAGCAGGTGGCACAGAGACACAGGAAATAATTCCTGTACAGGCACAGTTGGAATTCCTGATTTAAACCAAATTCAGGCCTGGATTCTCCATCCTGGGGCATTGCTCTGACAGCTGAGGTGTTTCTCCTCTGCAAGACCTTTAATAACTTCAGGATGGGAAGCAGAGGGGGGGTTTTGATCCCCTCCATTCCCTGGTGACTGTTGTTTGCATCCCCAGGCTCCAGCAGGTCCCCGTGGGCCTCCCCGGCCAGCCAGGACTCCGGTGAAACCCTTCATCCTCACCCGGGATGCTGCTCAGGCCAGGTATGGGTTGGGATGATCCAAACACACTTTGGGGCACTGCTCTCATGTCAGACCTAAAATATTCCATCAAGTGCAGAAATCCAGGTGGTGCCTTCATGTTTGTGACACCCTGAAATCCATGCAGGAATTTCAGCACCTAAAGCACGAAATGGGAGAGAAACCAGATTTCCTGTCGTGCTTGGGACATGATTCATGCTGAGCTTTCCATGTATCTGCTTCACTTCCCAGGGGTGTCCTGGGATCTCCTTCCCCTATCCCAGGTTGTTCCAAGCCCTGTCCAGCCTGGCCTTGGGCACTGCCAGGGATCCAGGGGCAGCCACAGCTGCTCTGGGCACCCTGTGCCAGGGCCTCACCACCCTCACAGGCGGGAATTTCTTCCCAATATCCCATCCATCCCTGCCCTCTGGCAGTGGGAAGCCATTCCCTGTATCCTGTCACTTCAGTCCCTCTCCATCTTTCCCTCAGGTACAGGAAAGCCACAATTGGGTCACCCCTCAAGCCTGCCTTGTGACATCCTTAGCACAGATTAGATCATGGAATAGCCCTGTGCCTCTTGCCTGTGTTCCTGCTCATTCCAGGGGATTTCACTGCCTGGTTCTGGCTGGTTTTGTCTCACTGCAGGGTGTTTGGAGCTGGCTATCCCGGGCTGCCCACCATGACTGTGGATGACTGGTACGAGCAACGCCGCAAGCAGGGAATCGTGTCCACCCCACAGAGGGTTCCAGGTATGGAACAGAGGTGGGAACAGTGGGTTTGGGAAACCTCTTGAGGCTGACTATGGAAGAATCCAAGCTTTATTAGGAAAACAGTTGGGTTAGACTGTGCTTGGCCTGTTGGATGGGGCTTGGAACAACCTGGGAGAGTGGAAGGTGTTCCTGGTGGCACTGGCTGGGCTCTGAGTTCCCTTCCAACCCAGCCCATTCCAAGATTCTCACTCCTGCTGTCTGGCAAGCCCAGCTCCCAGCAGGCATTTGGAGAACCTGGATCTCCTCTTTGTCCCTCCCCTCCAGCAGGTACAAGTGATGAGGAGATGCAGAAGCAGCAGAAGGAGACAGAGGAGGAGGAGGATGATGAGGAAGCTCTTCGGAAAGCTCGGGACTGGGACGACTGGAAGGACACACACCCCCGGGGCTACGGCAACAGGCACAACATGGGCTGATGCTCTGGCTGCCAGAAGGGCCTGGAGATCCTGGGAGAACAACCTGGAGAGGGAGAAGGGAATACAGTGTACATAGGTGGAGCATCTGGGAATTCCCTGGATGGACAGGGCACAGGATGGCAGGAGGACACGTGGCCCCTTGCTGTGGTGTGCATTCCATGTCAGACTGGGGGCACTGGTGATGTTGGGGGGTGCCCCAGAGCTCTGAGGGGCAGCTCCATGAGGATCAGGCTCCCTCTGCCCTCCCAGGCGGAGGCAGCCTCCAAGGGGAGCTCCATGGATTTGGAAACTGCTCTTTGTATTGTGGGTGGATATATTTATTTTTTTTTTCCTCTCTATTTTAAGCAAAATAAACTCTCTTTGTGCTGTCTGGTTCTTGCAGTGAAATTCTCTTGCTCTTCATCCTGAACTTTTCCAGGGCATGAACCCTGGATGCCCTCATGGAGCCCACAAGGGACAGAACTGGGACAAATGGTGCCATATTCCAAGACAAAGTAGTCAGTGTGCTTTGAAACCCACTAGTACAATCCCTGAAAAAGGGAAAACTCTCTGAATCCTCTGGCACCATTTCTGAATGAGGGAGGACTGAGCTGGCACAGAGCAGGTGTGTGCAGGAAGGTGAGGAATCACAGCTGGAAGCTCTGGAAATGTCCAGTGTGGGTTGGTAGCTGTGGATGGGCTTGTTCCAAACCTGGTAAAATACTGGGATGGAAAAGCAAAGCATGGCTGGCACTTGGTGTCACCTGGAGCAGTGTCACCTCCACGGTGCTTTCTTACCCTGGGACCGTGGGATTCTGTAGCAATCTGGTGATTTTCCTTCCTGTTAGCAGGATTTGGGCACAGCTGGAGTTGGGATGTTTTCCATGCAGCAATCCCTGTCCTCAGCACTGATCCAAGCCCAGGAAAGCCTGCAGGGACTGTGGTCCTTTCTCCCAGGTACTGAGTCCCTACAATTCACAGGAGGGTTTGTGGGTTCCAGATCTCCCAGGAAACATTTCTTACTTCCCCACCATGATCCTGTGGGTGTGTTTATCCCTCTCCTACACTGATGTTAGCCAGCACTTCATAGGAGCACCTCTGAACAGCTTCAGGGATTTATTCCCTGTGGGTTCTCGCTGTTCCTTGGGCTGTTGGCCTGAAGCCCCCCTCTCAGTGCTGACTCCCTGCTGCTCCTATTTCCCTTTCTTTTCCATTTTTCCCTTCAAACCTCTCTGGACAGCACTCCAGGCTCCCTGGGCAGGAGGCAGAGTGCCCATCCCGGGGCTGGGAGCAGCAGCAATGGTCTGGTGGCTGTGGAGCTCCAGGGTGGTATTTTTGGGTGGCTCTGGGGCTGTCACATGGCAGTGTTTGTGACATTCCCCCAGCGTGGACGGTACCATTCCCAGGGGGATGCAGCATTCCCAGAGGAATTCAGCCCCTGCCAGCACCAACAGCCGGGACTTTCCAAGGATCAGCAACTTCCCAGCACAGCCCCAGTGCCTCACCCTCTGTGTGACCCTTCCAGGCACCAGCAGTTGCTCTCCATGCTCCTAATCCCAGCTGGAGCAGGTCCCCTCCCCTGAGCAGGGCCGGAGTCCCTTGGGTCACCTGGTTAAAGCCTCTGGACACACAGCCCGGCGCCCTCTGATTGCCAAACTCACCTTTCCACCCACGGCACCAGGAGCTCCTGCCACCATGAAAACCATCATAGCAGCCTGCTCCCAGAACCTCAGTGGTAAGAGATTCCCAAAAAGGGTTGGGATGGCTCCTGGTTTTCCAGCAGTGCCAGGAGCTGGTGGTTGTCACTCTTGTCTGCTTGCTTGGGAGTGCTGAGGAGAAAAGGGGTGTTGGGAGCAATTAGAGAATAACTCCACAGAAAAACGCACTGTTGCTCTACAGGCATGAAATTTTGGATGGCTTTGGGAGCGTTACATTTGTAGGAGCGATTCTCCTACAAATTCCAAATGTTGACTTTGCAGAGGCTCCTGTTACTGTGGATGGGGCTGACAGCAGAGCCCTGTGGGGTTCTCTGTGTCTGTGGTGTGGACATTCATGGGGTTTTTGGAATAGGAGCTATGAAAATTAAAAAGCAACAGTTTGGTGGGCACAAATTTGCTGGGAAGAGCTCTGTGTCTTCCCTGGGAAAAAGACCCTGGGTTCTGCAGGTGGCTGGGATTTTGGGGATGTGTGGTGGGTGGAAGGGATCACCCAGAGCCCAGCGTGCTGCATGGGAGAAAAGGACAAAAATTTCCCACTGGAAAATTCCCCCGTGGGCCAGAGATGGCTCCAGTGTTTAATTTATTTCGCTTGTCCCATTCCTGGTTTGGGTTGAGCTGGGAAGAACTGAACCTCTGCCAGCTTCCTGAACCAGGGGTTGGTGGCTCTGCTCTGACACAGAGGTCCCTGCCTTGGGGAGCCACAGGGACAGGGCTGCTCCTGTGTCCCCCTGATTGTCTTTCTGGCCAACATGCAGATTTGGGGTAGTTTTCCCAAGAATACAAGGCTTTTGTGATGCTGGGGTGGCTCTCTGGGGTGGTCTTGTCCTGGGGACCTTTGGCCAGGAGCACTGTGCTGGCAGGGCCGGCACCTCAGGCCTGTTTTAGGGAGAGGGATGGGGCCAGGCTTGGAGTTTGGATCCTGGCTCCCAGCCCAGGGAGGTTAATGGTTCACCAAGATCAGCTGGAGGGAAGGGGTGGCAGGGGGAGTGGAGTGGCTGCGCTGCCACTGTGGGGACAGACTGGGATGGCCACCTCCAGCCACCCTGGCTTGGCCTTGCTGCTGGCCTTGGCACTTGCTGGGGGTGGTGCCTCCCCGCTGTGCCAGCTGAGAAATCCCCAAATCCCCTCCCCACCGAGGAGGGCACAGGAATGGTCCTGGGCACTGGGCATGGAGCAGGATGTGCTGCTGATGTCAGCCCTTCTGGTGCACGGAGCTTTTGGGTTTGGAGTTGCCCAGTGCTCCCCGCTCTGGGGACAGCCCTGATTGCCCAGGGCCACCTTCTGGCATGGTCCAGAGCTTCCTGAGGATGGTCCTCCATTCCACCCCCCACACCCCATCCCTCCTCCCCCAGCTGCT